CAAGAACCAAGTTTTTTTTTATAGCAAAGGAAAAAGTTTTGTTTATAGCTGTGGCGAGGGGGCATGGTTCAGCGAGGTCTGCATCGAGAGAGAGAGGCAGGAGACGAGCGGTGCGTAAGTAGGTCAAGCGCAAATGATAAACACCTGTGTCTTGTTTCAGTAATTGGTGTGGATAAAAGGGGCCACCTGGAACATGATGAGAGAGACTGACTGGGAACGCGAGCCACCCAGGGAGACAGGTGTAGATACACGGAACCAAGTTGTGTTATGTTTGTTATGAGTTATTGACTGCGAGTCTGACAGTGCTGAATGAGCACCGTATTGTGGGCGGTGCAAGAGAAATGTAAATAAAGCTCGCGTCCTAGCAAGCCGACCCTGCCTTCCTTCCACACACTTGAACCTTTACTACACTGGTGCCGAAACCCGGGAAGGAAGAAGAACGCCGTTGCCATCATGCAGTCCCCCCCAGGATCGCCATTTGCGGAGGTCATCCAATCGCTCACGGGTCTTCACCAGGAGCACCATCAGGCACTGCTGGGCCTGAAGGACGATCAGGAGCGGCGGTTCCATGCCCTCCTCCAAGCCCAACAGGAAGACCGCGAGCTGTTCCGGAGCTGGATTGACCGGGAGGTTCGGGCTGGGGGACCTACATCTGCCCCAGCACCACCCCCCCATGTGCCTCTCCACAAGATGGGGCCCCAGGACGACCCAGAGGTGTTCCTGGATCTGTTCGAGAGGTCGGCAGAGGCCGGGGGGTGGCCTGAGGAGGACTGGCCAGTGCGGCTCATTCCCCTGCTGTCCGGGGAAGCGCAGGTGGCCGCACAACAGCTGCCAGTCCAGAACCTCCTGGTATACCAAGACCTCAAGCGCGCCATCCTCCAGCGGGTTAGTCGGAGCCCCGAGCAACATCGCCAGCGCTTCAGGTCGCTGGACCTCGGAGAGGGGGGCCGACCCTTCGTGATGGCGCAACAGCTCCGGGACGCCTGCCGCAGATGGCTGATGGTACTTGAAGGGTTGCAATGCTAGATACCAACGGGTGATCCTGATGGTCCAGTGTGGTACTGGAGCAGTTCATGGCCCGGCTGCCAAGGAAGACTGCCCAGTGGGTCCAGTGCCACCGCCCGATGTCGCTGAACCAGGCCATCCAACTGGCGGAGGACCAGATGGTGGCGTGCCCCGG